TTAGTGATAGTACAAACATTGTACAACAATTAGTGATAGTACAAACATTGTACAACAATTAGTGATAGTACAAACATTGTACAACAATTAGTGATGCTTCAAACAATGTACAACACTTAGTGATAGTACAAACAATGAACAACACTTAGTGATAGTACAAACATTGTACAACAGTTAGTGATAGTACAAACATTGTACAACACTTAGTGATAGTACAAACAATGTACAACAATTAGTGATAGTACAAACATTGTACAACAACTAGTGATAGTACAAACATACAACAATTAGTGATAGTACAAACAATGAACAACACTTAGTGATAGTACAACATTGTACAACAATTAGTGATAGTACAAACAATGAACAACACTTAGTGATAGTACAAACATTGAACAACACTTAGTGATAGTACAAACATTGTACAACACTTAGTGATAGTACAAACATTGTACAACACTTAGTGATAGTACAAACATTGTACAACACTTAGTGATAGTACAAACATTGTACAACACTTAGTGATAGTACAAACATTGTACAACACTTAGTGATAGTACAAACATTGTACAACACTTAGTGATAGTACAAACATTGTACAACACTTAGTGATAGTACAAACATTGTACAACACTTAGTGATAGTACAAACATTGTACAACACTTAGTGATAGTACAAACAATGTACAACAATTAGTGATAGTACAAACATTGTACAACAATTAGTGATAGTACAAACACTGTACAACAATTAGTGATAGTACAAACATTGTACAACAATTAGTGATAGTACAAACAATGTACAACAATTAGTGATAGTACAAACATTGTACAACAATTAGTGATAGTACAAACACTGTACAACAATTAGTGATAGTACAAACATTGTACAACAATTAGGGATAGTACAAACATACAACAATTAGTGATAGTACAAACAATGAACAACAATTAGTGATAGTACAAACATTTACAACAATTAGTGATAGTACAAACATGGTACAACAATTAGTGATAGTACAAACACTGTACAACAATTAGTGATAGTACAAACATTGTACAACAATTAGTGATAGTACAAACATACAACACTTAGTGATAGTACAAACATTATACAACAGTTAGTGATAGTACAAACAATTTACAGCAATTAGTGATAGTACAAACATTGTACAACAATTAGTGATAGTACAAACATACAACACTTAGTGATAGTACAAACATTGTACAACACTTAGTGATGGTACAAACAATGTACAACACTTAGTGATAGTACAAACATTGTACAACAATTAGTGATAGTACAAACATACAACACTTAGTGATAGTACAAACATTGTACAACACTTAGTGATAGTACAAACAATGTACAACAATTAGTGATAGTACAAACAATGTACAACACTTAGTGATAATGCAAACAATGTACAACAATAAGTGATAGTACAAACAATGTACAACAATTAGTGATAGTACACACATTGTACAACAATAAGTGATAGTACAAACATTATACAACAATAAGTGATAGTACAAACATTATATAACAATTTTTAACAAATCAATTTACAATGATTAAGGACAATAAATAAATGAAATTTGTCTTTTTTGAATTGTATTGAATGTATGCTATTTGAGGTGATATACAACTGTATTGAATACATGCTATTTGAGAGAACATACATCTATATTGAAGACATGCTATTTGGGGTACATACAGTTATATTGAATACATGTTATTTCGGGTAACATACAGCTATATTGAATACATGCTATTTGGGGTAACATACAGCTATATTAAATACATGCTATTTGGGGTAACATACAGCTATATTGAATACATGCTATTTGAGATAACATACAACTGTATTGAAGACATTCTATTTCGGGTAACATACAGCTATATTGAATACATGCTATTGGGGGTAACATACAACTGTATTGAAGACATTCTATTTGGGGTAACATACAGCTATATTGAATACATGCTATTTCGGGTAACATACAGATATATTGAATACATTCTATTTGGGGTAACATACAACTGTATTGAATACATGCCATTTGGGGTAACATACAACTATATTGAATACATGCTATTTGAGATAACATACAACTGTATTGAATACATGCTATTTGGGGTAACATACAGTTATATTGAATACATGTTATTTCGGGTAACATACAACTGTGTTGAATACATGCCATTTGGGGTAAAATACAACTATATTGAATACATGATATTTGAGATAACATACAACTGTATTGAATACATGCTATTTGGGGTAACATACAGCTATATTGAATACATGCTATTTGAGGTAACATACAACTATATTGAATACATGCTATTTCGGGTAACATACAACTGTATTGAAGACATTCTATTTCGGGTAACATACAGCTATATTGAACACATGCTATTTGGGGTAACATAGAGCTATATTGAATACATGCTATTTGTGGTAACATACAGCTATATTGAATACATGCGATTTGGGGTAACATACAGCTATCTCGAATGCATGCTATTTGGGGTAACATACATCTATATTGAATGCATGCTATTTGGGGTAACATACGACTGTATTGAATACATGCTATGTGGGGTAACATACAGCTATATTGAACACATGCTATTTGGGGTAACATAAAACTGTATTGAATACATGCTATCTGGGGTAACATACAACTGTATTGACTACATGCTATTTCGGGTAACATACAGTTCTATTGAATACATGCTATTTGGGGGAACATACAGTTATATTGAATACATGCTATTTGGGGCATCATACAACTGTATTGATTACATGCTATTTGGGGTATCATACAACTGTATTGAAGACATTCTATTTGGGGTAACATACAACTATATTGAATACATGCTATTGGGGGTAACATACAACTGTATTGAATACATGCTATTTGGGGTATCATACAACTGTATTGAATACATGCTATTTGGGGTAACATACAACTGTATTGAATACATGCTATATGGGGTAACATACAGCTATATTGAATACATGCTATTTGGGGTAACATACAACTGTATTGAAAACATGCTATTTGGGGTAACATACAGTTATATTGAATACATGCTATTTGAGATAACATAAACTGTATTTTTCTTGTTGGAGATTTCCTGTGACAAAGCATTGATTCAGCAGAAATTTGAGATCT